AGTTGTCGGGCAATTGTTGGAGATTCCAAAAATAATATTATATACAGAGTGTTCCATTTGAAAAATCAAAGTTGCTACTGCTTTCTAATAGAAGCGGCAACACCGCATTGTCGAAAATATTTTAGTTGGCTAGAGAATGTCCGAATATGCCCTCCATTAAATTTTTAAAGTGATCCGTTGTCTGGTTCACCAGAAACGTCTAATGTGCCATCCACCGTGAATCAGCCTGTATAGTCTTCATTTCGTTTGTAAATCTTGTAATTTTTGTTAACTCGCTTTTTCTCTATAATTATCTGTTTCAGTTCTGATGAGAACCATTTTGGGAAATTAATTTTGATTTCTTGTACACTATTTCCATTGTAAATTAAAGTGGTGTCATCGGCAAACATTTGTAACTTACCAAATAAATTTACTGTACTCAATTGATTTGGAGCCGTAGAGTAATACATTGTGTATTTTCAGGAACTCTTGCGTCTTCTACAGAAGCTACGTGGAAAGTCTCGACAGATGTCATCAGCAGTTTGAAACATGGGTTGATTTCCCTTTTCAATGATAGTTTCACCAAACAACTTCTAGAAACGGCACAGGTGAGTAAATTCAAAATGTCTCTTGCAAAACAAACAACGTCAATATTGTTAGCGCAAAAGGTCATATGTGAAAATAATGTGTTAATTCATTTTATTTTTGATTGATCGAGCATTCACATATAGAATTTTGAGGTTTTCTCCATCATCACTCACGTAATTAGGTCGAGAATTGTATTTAATATTTAGAATTGCATGTTCTTTAGCTATAGTCGATTCAAGACTCGATAACTATTACTTGTAGCGCAACGACCAGTTGAATACTTTGTTTTGAAGTGACTGTTGGAATACTGGCAGTTATTACCTTTTTTGGTGCACAAGTATTGTTGCAGAATTTCAATGCATCTGTTTCGCTGCAACGCAAACAAATGGTATCGTTCCTACATTTGTGGTGATTATGTTGGAATTGGTAGCACTTTTTGCACTGTGTTATACTCTTATTATCATACAGTGCATTTCTTTAA